TTGCTCACCCTCCCGCCTGGAACGGCAGATATTTGCCTGCTGACTTCCCGAAGCAACCAGTTGTCACGCCCACACCATCCCACTTCACAGATGGACTCTCAACATCTGTGAGGCTCAGCACCGCCAGGAGCCATTCTCTGCTCCAAGACCAGCAGCTCTCCGTTTCCAGCCACATATTCTCTCAAATCCTTAAAAACGATGGCCCTGAAGAAGGGATGGTGGCAGAAATGACAGCACTCACCCACTGCGTGTCCACCGGTGTTAACGTGTTCATTCCCCAACAGGCTGGTGAGCCAGGCAGCCCCATCTCACAGACGTGCAAACTGAGGCTGGTCTGCATCACCGAGCCTGCTGAAGGTGGACTCAGAGCTAAACCCGGGCAGGTGCATACGACATCTTGCAGGACGCTGAGCACCAGTTGGCAGGCCTGGCAGGTGACCCTTGGGTTTCACAGGCTGAGAGGTCCTCCTTACCGAAGCCACCCAAGTCAGTCTTGTTCCTGACTCTGGAGACCCTACTTATTCTCTTCAGAAAGAGATGTTTTTATCATCTAGGAGGATGACCAAATGTAGGCCTGTCCCACTTCTCTGCAGGTTCCCTTTCTGACATGTCAGTTATCCAAACACACAACACAGAAAATTCCAGAAGTAGGCAGCAGTTTCACATTCTGCACTATTCTGAGTAGCATGATGACATCTCATGCTGTCCTGTACCCCAGGGTGTGAACCACCCTTTGTCCGCCATATCCACACCACGTGCTCCCCTGCCAGTGTGTCACTCACCCGGCTGTAAGATGGCTTATGACTGCCATGGTAGCTCAGGGCTTGGCTACAGCACTCGGCACTATCCGCCCTCAGAACCCACTCCCCACAGGGGACGGGGGACAACTGTACACATAGTTCCCATGCTTGATAAAAACTCTGTGGGCAAATTCTACATGGAAAATTAAAAAAAAAATGACTTAATTATTGAGAACTTAACAATCGCCCCCAAGGAACAAGGCCAAGTTGGCAAGTTGGACGGTGTGAGTATGGCTGGAGCAAGTGGTCTCCCCAGAAGAGTGGCCCAGAAAGGCCAGCAGAAGCAGCCCGTGTCATGCTGAAGACAAGGACGGGTTTTCCCAATCTGCACTAGCCTTGGCCAGAACATTCCAAAGTATAACACATTTAGCCTGGATGTGAGACAACCCGAGTCTCTGTGAAGTTTTTTGTCCCCTAAGAACTTTCCCAACATGAGCTAAGACACTTCTGTGGTCTGATAGAGAGGCTTTGTGCCAACGAGCTCATCCCGTTTAATTGGCCAGGCAGCTGGGGGCAGAGTTACCAAAATGAACAAGGTTCAATTCCTACAGCACAGTCAGCACTGCTGGAATGGGGCCCAGCAGAAAGCCAGGGGCCTCCCTCTGAGGGTCCCTGGACAGAGGTCAAGCAGCTGCCTCGCACTCGCAGGACCGACCGCCTAACAAAGCCACACCGCAGCTTCCAGTGGACAGCAGCATAGGCTGGTCAGGAACTACTGCAGCTGGGTTCAGATTCTACCTCTATCACTTCTTCATCCCTAACCCTGGGCAGGATCCTCCGCCTCTCTTGAGCCTCAGCCTTCTTCTTAAAAAAAAAAAAGAAAAAATTCCTACCCGTAGGGTGCTATGAGGAATTTAGGTCATGCAACTGAGCCGCTTAAAGTGCTGAGACCAAGTCATCTCACGATGGGTGGTGGCTTTTATGACTGCTCTTGGAAGCTAAACCCTGAACGTTATTTTAGATCGGCAAGGGTGTTTTTAATTATTGTTTTTTCCTCCTCGCAGCACCCTCTAAGGCCTACAGGTGGGCACGGTAGCCTGTCCAATGTCATGGCACTGCTTGCAGAGACACAGAAAATTCAAAGTGTGAGCTAGGCCTGTGGCTCAGACCTAGGGTTTGGTCAAGACACCGATTTGTTAAACAGCCATCTCTGGGAGTGCTTTCCTTTAGTTTCTTAAATTTTGGAAGTCCGGAACTTAGGTAGATTCAAAACAACATCTGTAGTCAGTCTCCAAAAATAGTCTGTTAATATCAACAGGTGTCTCAGAAAAATTTCAGGAAGGGAGCGACGTCAGAACACCATGACATTTTACGAGCATTGCCTGTTCCCAGCTGGCCCACTGGCCATATAAATCAATGTTCCTGACCTTTGCGATCAGAGCACTGGCTGAGGGTAACTTAACAGAAATAAAAGCATATAACTGACCGGCTGCACAGACACAGTCTTCAAACCTAGGGAAGCTGACCAGGGGGACAGGCTGTGAAGTCTTGCTTAGGTCACAGAAAAGTCAGCCATCAGCCTCAAAATGAGCCGAATCCCATCAACGTGCCAGTATCATAAACTACAGATAGAGACATGGCTGGGGGCGGGGGGCACCGTGGCTGTGCTATTTCAAGAAGGGACAGGGGCCACCACACCCTCCAGCACTCCGTGGCTCTGTGCAGCACTCTGCATATCAGGATTTCTGGCTTTTACTTCCTGAAATATCAGCAACATTCTTTTCCGTCATTGCTTCCTCCACAAAGTCAAGGACACAATGGCTTTCGAAAGTCAAGAAAAACCACTGCGAACAGTCAAAAGGCCCGAATGGCAACGTCCAGCTTCAACCAGACACTTCCTTTTGTTCCATAGCGTGGAAAAAAATCACATGGCGTGAGCCCACGGAGCTGAACACACTCGTCTGGGTTGAAAAGTTCAGCATGATTAACTCCTGACTCTGCGGCGGCCCTGTTGATTTTGGCCCCACTTGGGGCACTCTTGTTTATTTGCGCACAAAGGATCTGTAAAAGGATGACCGGTGTTCCGGGTCTTTCCACTAAATCATCCCGGAGGAATGAATGATAAACGATTTTTGTTTTTCCTGCAGCCCACTGGTCAAGGGTGACTCGCCCCAAAATATCCCCAATCCTTCCTCTAGAGTGGTTCTTTGTCAGGACGGTATCTGACCCTCTCACCTACATCGGCATTTCTTTTGCAGGGATAGCTTTTATACAATGGCTATGTTTCTCTCTGCCTTTTAGTCCTTCCTCTAACTGAACGCTTTGACTGGTGCTTCCAGATTGTAAACGGAGACAGAGGGGCGAGGCTTGGGAGAGGCATGGGGAAGAATCAGGACACAGCAAGGGGAGATGTGGAAGTCTGGAGTTTACAACACTGGCTGCTGCTTTGAGTGTGAGGGCTTGGCATCCCCATTATGTCATCGTAGCCCTTGGGAGCGGGCACCTGACTCTCTCTCCATTTCATCAAGGTGGAGATGAGCACAGAGGGGTCTAGTACCTGACCCAGGGTCACACAGCTGGTGAGACACAGAGCCTGCACTGCAGCCAGGCAGTCCGCTGTCCAAGCTCCAGTGCTTGGCCGGTTACACAAAGCAAAAGGTTCTAAGAACACTTGCCAGGAACAGCGAAACACCCACCGGGCCAAAGTGGAGAGAGGAAGTTATTCAACTTTTAGACTAACCAGACGGGCCTTCTCTGCACATGCTCACCAAACCTCTGAACATCAGAAAGTTTGCTGGTGCTGTGGCACAGTGGGTTAAACTGCTGCCTGCAATGCCAGCATCCCATATGAGCACCAGTTCAAATCCCCGCTGTTCCACTTCCAATCCAACTCCCTGCTGATGCACCTGGAAATGCAGTGGAAGACGGCTAAGTACCTGCACTCCTGCTACTCATGTGGGAGACCCAAATGGAGTTCCTGGCTTGTGGCTTTTGCCTGGCCTATCCCTGGCTGTTGCAGTCATTTGGAGGGTAAACCAGCTGATGGAAGATCTCTCTCTCTCTCTCTCTCTCTCCTTCTCCCTCTGTTAACTCTGCCTTTCAAATAGGTAAAAAAAAAATCCTAAAAGGAAAAAGAAAGTGTGCACAATTCCACTAGTGATTTTCCCTTCCTTTACGCTCAGCAAGTCACTGCCGTTCCGAAGCAGCGGTGGTTCCCAGGGGGCCATGCTGATGGTCTCTGCCTGCGGTGCTGGTCACGCAGCCCTCTGATGACTGCCTTTCTCAGGAATGTCACACACAAGACACACCAGGAGCAGGCATCGGAGGTGTTAGAACGATCCAGGCAGACACAGCCAAATGAATCTGTCAGCAGTTATGTACTACTATTTATAACCACACAGGCGAGTGGCACAATTCCTAGCCAGAGAGCAGAAAAGCGACCATCAAATGCCACAAGCTGCCTTGCAGCCCACCAACTGTGAATTCCCTCGGGGACTGCACAGTGACCCCAGTTTGCAACCAGTTCCGGGGCTCCCAGGGATGGCAGTCTCTTGATGGGCTTGTCAAGTGCATTTTAGCACCCATTTCGCAGGTGAAACATCTCCCATCTCTAAGTTCTGGGCAGGCCCCAAAGTTCTCCTTCCATGCTCCAGGTCAGACTAAGGATGTGCAGAGGAGGGCAGGCCAGGGTTCAATTCTTGACCGCCTCTGCTGACCACACCAGGCCATGCGAGGTGGCTGGCTGTTGATTTCTTCCACAGGAAGCCTTGCCCCATTAAAAAAGAACACCAATCTCGCTCTTTGTCCACTAAAAGGAAAAGAGCCCTTAATAATCCCTGGACATCGGTGTTTGTCTGTGCCCATTTATCTAGAAGCCTGCCCTGGGTCCACTCCTGTTACACAGCAGTTCATCAAATATTTACCGAGCAGCTCCTGCTCCGTGTTAGTCAGCAGGAGGCAAACAGACAGGAGGGAGTGCTCACTTCCCTTTCGGTCCTGGGAGGGCCGGTGGGCGTGGTGAGATAAGGGTCTTAGTAAGAAGACTATAGAAGCTGTGCCTCGAATTCTAAGCCCAGATGTCCCGGAAGGGCACTAACCATGCAGGGTCCACAGTCAGCTCCTGGGGCCAACTTCAACAGGTGACAGGGCCCAGGAGCCCAGCACAAACCGTGCAGACAAGCCTGCGGCTGTCAGGGAGCACCAGGGCACTGGGGAGTCGGGGCGGGGGAGGGCAGGCCGAGGCGGGCTGCGGGCAGGTACCTTGCAGTCACAGCCGATGGGCTTCCCACACTCCTCGCACGTGTTGGCGTAGAGGGCCTCGAAGCATGGCACACAGTAGGGACTCTCCTCCCTCAGGATGTATTTCTTGCCAAAGAGAGATTCATTGCAATGGTGGCAGTCAAAACGTTCGGTCATCTTGACGCCGTGTTGTTCAACAACCTGTGCAAAAGAAGAGAGAAAAAATAGATCCCCGTGAGCAGGCTGCGCGCCCCGCATGCACAGGCAACAGCCACCCGCCCTCCCTGTGACTCATCTTAATCCAACGGGAGGCTAGTTCCTTGTGTGAATCACCGAAACGGTTGTAACTTTCAAGGATACGTTCCCCCTGCCCCTGCCCCTGCCCCTGCCCACTTCTCTGAAAGTACCGATGACTGTTGATTATGTGAGAAAAGTAATCTCAATTGCAGCTACACGTCAGAACTGGCATCAGATACCCTTGCCATCCAGCTGTGTGTAGGCTTCCAGTGTGTGACCCTGCCTGGCACCTTGCCCCCACATACACACAATGTGCCCATCCCTACAAGAAGATTCCTCATGAGCCCCCTATATGATTCACGAATTTCAACAGGGAGAAATCACAGAGGCAAGAGGGAGGGATACCTGATTTGGGAAATCTGACACTAGATACCAAGACAGCATTCCCTTTGGCGTCGGCATTGCATTGGGAAGTCCCATCTATCCCTGCAAGGAAAAACCCCGCTGACATCTCTGTCAGTCCTCCTTCAGCTGCCTGTGGTCCCAGGGAGCCCAACAGAGAAGGCTGATCACATGGTCAGGCACAGTGGCTGTGGTCAACGGCTCTTCAGGTGAGATCTGGAGCCTTGCAAAGAGGAACCAGAGTGCATCTCCACACAGGCTCGGTGCATTTTTCCAGGATGAGAACACAGCGTGCGTGAGCAGGAAGGAATGGACTGGAGGTGCAGAGGAAGAGGGTGTTTTTTTTTTTTTTTCATTCCTCCTCCTCCTCCTATAAAAACATGTTGGAACAATCTTGGAAAGAACAGATCTACCAAGGGAATACCTGGAGTGAAGGAATGCCTAAGGGGCATTAAACAGTTAGTTCATTTTCTTTGGGAATTTTTTTTTTTTAGAGGAAAGGTTTATTTTTGGGTGGGGGAAACCTGATGGGCCAGAGGGAAGAAGGATAGAGAGTAAAAGAGAGAGAAAGAGTGAAGAAGAAAGAGAGAAAGAGATCTGCAGGGCAGGTCCTGTTAAACCTTTGTTAGGGGGCAGGGACGCAGGAGCAGTGGATCTCATTAGGGTGAGGATGGGGCTGACACCTGTGGCTGGGCCATCTGGTCACCTGGCGTCCAGCAATGGTGGAGGGAGGCTAGAGCCTAGGATTGTGTCCAGGGCGTAGATCACGCCGCAGATGAGACCTCGCCATTTTACTAACATTCTCCCCTTTTGTTTTTTATAAAGCAGGTGTTGTATGGGATTACATTGGTCCAAAAGTCCAGGAGGGGCGAAGGGGCAATGCGGTCTGTCTTCTACAGCTGCTACCTGCTGACCTGAGTCTCAAGCTGCTATCTCCTGGGTGGGGAGCCAGGTAGAGCCCTGCAGCAGCATTTGGTTCACCGCCTGGTTGGTGAAGGCTTTGGTTCGTTCCATTATCACCTCCTCAGGTGAAAGGCCAGTGTCTGGATGGAGATCCTGGGGTGTGTTCTGTGGTTGGCGGGTGTCTAGGACCCCAAAGCAATTCAAATCCCTGAGGGGAGAGCAAGGTCGATGGGAGAGCCTGGATCCGAGTTACAGCACAATGTGAGGCTGCCACAAAACACACCAAACACCAGAGTTAGAGGAAAGGTTTATTGTCAGGTAGAGGAGGCCTGATGGGCTGGGAGGAGATGGTGAGAGAGTAAGAGAGAGAGAGAGAAGAAAGAAAAAGAGATCTGGAGACAGAGTGGAATATTTTTCTTAAGCGGCAATATATAATTGGCACAAGTGAGGAGTTTCGTCCATCGTTAGACTGGCACCCTGGCTGGCTACATAAACAACCAATGTTTCACAAACTCAACTCAATTTCCAGTCATTTCAAACCATTTGAGACTGAAAGCCCAGAATGAAAGCCTCTGGCACAAGTGAAATATCACCGCTTGGTTTATGATTATGGCAAAATTCGATAGTGTTTATTAATTTTATACTCTTGTTTATACAAAGTTCTGGCAACTGTAAGCAAAGAAGTGTACATCTTTCAAGCATCCATACTCAGTTATTTCTGTGTTTATAGAATATTTTCTTCCAAAAGCATAAAACACACAGCTGGATGCATGTGGCAGAATCCATCCCTCTGAACGGCTCTTCCCGGAGCTACAGAAAGCTGTAGCTGTCTGGACATTCCTGTGATAGCATCACACGAGGAGGCCCTTGAGCACTTGACTGATTGTTCGGAAATCCCATGCATAAATATCCCTTGTAGAGGCCATCTCGGGTTGCAGGAGCCGGGCTGGCCGAAAATTCGATGCTTTCCTGGAACTCTTTAGCTATTGGCCTTTAAAATGGTTGCCTTTTATCTCATCACAATGGATGCTGTCTTTCCAACATCTATATTTTTTCAATAAAGCTCCACTTAGCCATGGAAGGAAAGCATTTTTGCCTATTCCATTCACACAAACATAGGAAGAATGGGGAACTTGATATAAGGACAATGAAAGGAGAAAGAACTATAAATCACGGAATTTTAAAAGCTGGAAACAATTCCCAAGCTTATCTGTGACAACTACCTCATTTTATGGATGGAAAAAACCCAGAGCCCTGGAATATTAAAAGAGGATTCCCGCAAGTATTCCCAAAGATCCATCTAACTTAGAGAAAATGAACACCCAGGCTAAAACCAAAGGGGGTTCCATGTGGGTTGACCAAGCACCAGTGCTGCTGGGGAGGGAGAGTGGACGGACTGTGCCAGCAGGCTCTGCAGGGCCCCCTGCCTAGTTCTCAGCCAGTGAGAAGGGCACAGCTCCCCAACGTGATGACCACGATGCTCACGCTCCTCGTGGCTGTGATGTCTGCCACCTCTGAATCCAGAGGATCAGGGCAGAAACCCTGAGATTAAGCAGGGCTGCACGTCTGCTCCAAGTGCGACTGACACTAGCCCGAGACAAAGGTCATCACCTGTGGCGCTGCAGGCCAGAGAGGCGCTGTGACCTGCTCAGAGAGTCCAGCTCGGACAAGGCCGCTCACCTCATTTCCATAGAATTGTTCCAGATGATGGTGGGGGGAATCCCTCTCTCTCCCTCTAAGAGGTCACGGCACCTTTAACCGCAGGCAGAGCCTTTCAGCTTCATCAGTTAGAGCTGGGTGTAAAATGAGCACCCGTCACTGATTAGGAGCAGAGCAGAATGCACTTGATCGAGGAAGGTTCCTGGGCCAGCGCCGCGGCTCACTAGGCTAATCCTCCACCTAGCGGCGCCGGCACACCGGGTTCTAGTCCCGGTAGAGGCGTCGGATTCTGTCCCAGTTGCCCCTCTTCCAGGCCAGCTCTCTGCTGTGGCCAGGGAGTGCAGTGGAGGATGGCCCAAGTGCTTGGGCCCTGCACCCCATGGGAGACCAGGAGAAGCACCTGGCTCCTGCCATCGGATCAGCGCAGTGTGCCAGCCACGGCGGCCATTGGAGGGTGAACCAACGGCAAAGGAAGACTTTTCTCTCTCTCTCTCTCTCTCACTGTCCACTCTGCCTGTCAAAAAAGAAAAAAAAAAAGAAAAAAAGAAGGTTCCTGAAGGGCTTCCAAAGAATTACATGGAGCACAGACACCAACAGTCGGAGTATGTGCTCCTTTAGCTAATCGGAATGCCTAGAGCTTCCCTTCTATCAGAAAAGGCCTAAAACTAACTCTGCATTCCTCCTTTTTAAAAACTGTGTACTTAAATCATATTAGCAATCGTAAGCCTCTTTAAAAAAAAAAAATTGCTTGTGTGTTTATTTGAAAGGCAGAGAGAGAGAGAGAGAGAGAGAGATTGTCCATCCGCTGGTTCACTCTTCAAATGGCCACAATAGCCAATGCTGGGTCAGGCTGAAGATAGGAGCCTGGAGCTCCATCTGGACCTCTCACATGGACGGCAGGGGCACAAGTATTTGGACCATTATCCACTGCCTCTCCAGGCACCCTAGCTGGGAGCTGGATCAGAAGCCGAGCAGTGGAGACTCTAACTAGCACTTCAAATGGGTGCCATTGTCACAAGCAGCAGTGCTTAGCCAACTGTGCCACAACACTGGCCCCCTTAAGCCTTTTTTTTTTTTTAAATGGAGAAGTAAATCCATAACTCTACATTTAAAGTTCTTATAACTCTGCATTTGTAATCCAATATGATACCTGGTTATTCAAGAAATAGAGATGTCACTCAAGGTTAGGAAGCTGCAAAGATGAGTGAGACCCAGGCCCTCCTCTCCAGGAACTTGTAGTCCGGTGAAGAACAGAACCCTATTCCTGATGGGTCACTAAGCTGTGTGCCCAGGGCGTGACAGAGACGCACGGGAGTCAAGGCAACACAGAGGAGGAGGAACAGCCGAAAGGGCGGGGCTGGCTTCTGGGAGGTGAGGTTCACCCGTGCTGGGAAAAGGTTGGCCGAGCAACACTGCAGCTCAAGGGCAGAGTAAACAGAGCTGCAGAAATGAGCAACAGGCCAGGGTGAGTAGACACCCCGGGAAGATGGTAGCTCCAGCCCGCAGGGGCAGCAAATGATGGAGCCGAAAACAGAGTCAGGGACCACGGCAGGAGCCTGGTTCTTGGTCGTGGATGTCCCCTACAGGCCAACAGGATTTCTCCTTTTCTCTCCTGCAGCCTCACAGCGCTGAGGGTAGCAGCAGGCCCTTATTCCAAGTCCGCTGCATGGAATCGCGACTTTGCTGTGTAGGACAGGGGAAGAAAAAAAACCAAAGGGCCATGGCTATTGAAAAGTGTTTACAGGGTGTCAGGGTCTACTTTGAATCATTTCTTCAAATAACATTGGGATGCCTTGGTTCTGTAAGGAGTTTCTAGCCTAATTGTGTGCAATGTGCTCAACTCTGAATTCCTTATCTCATCTACAAGTCCTGTCCATCGCCTGGCACACAGGAATGCTGGAAGGTTTAAACAATTGCACAAAGGGAGACCCCTACTGCTGACTTGTGAAGCAAATTAAAACTGCAGTGTCCTGGAGCCCTCATCCCTCCCCAGGGTTCAG